AAGTACAGGGCCTCATGAAGAGACAAGACCACTGCAGGAGACCAGGAGATCATCCAAAGAACATGTCAAGGGCAATGATTTGTTATTAAGCACTTAAAAGCAGGATGCTATGTGAGCACAAAAACAGTGAAAAAAAAACATTTAACAGGATAAGCCACAAGGTATGTCAATTGTTTGCATATAGGATAAAGTGCTTGGAGTTAATTGGAGCTAGGTAGAGGAATCAAGACTAAAATGGAATGGTATGTCTCAGAAAGTGTGCAAGGTAAACTATATGCAGACAGTATGAACTAGATAACTGAAGGGGAATTTGGGGGATTTTTTTGGGGAAAAAAATTTCACCAAAAAAAATCCGTCCAGAGGCAGATCATATTGCACCCTGGTAACAGGCAGTGTGACATGGTAGAGAGACAGGTGATAGAGCCGTAGTTGTGTGTAATAAGTAGGAGTTAAGAATGATAAACTCAGATCTTGCTGCAGTGTGAGGAATTACAGAATTGCACATTAATAATAGTGATGTCATTATTAGCTAGGTCATTTTACTGATTTATTAGATTATTAATAGCGGGTTGATTTAACAATAAACATAGCCTCTTATCCCAAGCCTGCAGTCGAAAGAAGTTAAGACCTTCAGGTAACAGCTGATCTCTCACCCCTGCATCTCCTGAAGGACATTTTGGGGTTAGATGTGTTAGTCTGCCAAGTCCTTAAGGACTGCAAACCTTTGGGGTGACTTTTACCATTGATTTCACAAACTTTCCTTCAGGAAAAATGGCACCATTTCATTTCAGCTTAGTTGGTGCAAACCACTAAGTAGATCTAAACAGACCCTCATTATTTGAAGAGTGGTTTACTTTAGGTGAATTAAAGCTTCAGCTTAAGTGATCTAAATAATCTATTTTTAACAGAAAAAAATGACGAAAAGTTAAAAACCAAATCTTAAATCCGTTTCTATTCACACGCTCAGGCAAGCCTATAAAGTTTTCTCATGCATGCTAACACTTGTCTAAGTACTTAGCTCTCCTGCACTGCTGTATTTTCAAGCGGGTTTGTATTGAGGACAGCCCAATTCCTACCTTCCCCCCGTCAGAGCCTTTTCTGCATGTCTTGCACACCACCTGCTGGGACTTTGCCAGCAACCTCTTTCTTCAGCGCTGAGACAGGATGGTGCCCACACAGTCCCTAAGTCACATTCCCAATACATTATCTTTACAGAAAGGGGATTTTGGGGTTTAAGGGGGGGGGGTGTGTGTTCCTTTTTTTAAAGACCTTTCCTGGTGCTCCACGAGATTTTTCCCCACGGCTGCCCAACCTCAGCATCTCTCCCTCAGAAGTGGCAGACTGTGAGCTGGTTCTGCTTCTCACTTGCCAAGCCTGGATGTGCAAAAAAAGAGTATTTACCAAAAAATTAG